TCTCTTCCCCTGAACTTCTCATTTTGCATTGAAATCGCTTAATGAAAGCCCGTTAATAATTCAGCATTTTCGTAATAAGGAGACATGATGCTGTTTACAATAAGATTTGTTCCGTACATTGGTTACGGGAGTACCTTCTTCAGAACTAAGTAATGACAAATTGACAAGCGATTTACTAAGCAAAACCATTACATGAACTCAGCTGGAAATTTTTTGATACGCAAGCTGACACTTTCCTTTGTCTACACCCATATTCAAAGGAAATGTATTTCTAATTCCTCTCTGACGCTCTAGTAATTATACGATGGCTTAAATCTCAAGAGCTTGGGCGGTGTACTTTATTTTCATGTGGTATATTATGGCACAACAGTAGAAAAAATCTTATTTCGCACCAAGGCATCTTTTGCTGAACAAACCTCTTCGTCAGAATTTTCATTAGGTATTCGATAGCACAAATCTCAGCGATTTCAATGTTATGCTTGGTTTTTATGAAGGGATTTGTAGTGCGTTTTACAGCTAAAAGAATACTGACTTTCGTACTCGGCGCTGTATCGATCGCGCAGTGTAATTTACATGTGGCGTGAGATGCGCATTAAGTGTGAAACGCAGTATTCTTTCAACTGTAATGCATCAGAAAGTCTTCCTGTGAAATTTAGATATTATTGAAATTGCTGAGATTTGTGGTATAAAATGATTATTGAAAATCTTAGAGAAAGGCTCAATGAAAAGTACTCACATGTGCAATACAATTTCAATCTTATTGCCACAGTGCTCTAAGAGATTGCTTTTCAAAAAGCAAGGACGCCAATTGAATCGTCGAAATCTGAACTATTGACTAATTCTTGAAAAGCACAGGCCTGAAGCCAGTGTTATAAAATACATCCAAATACCGGCGCAAAAAATGCGCGCCGCGTGCAAAATGCAGTCTTAATTTCATAGTTGCTGCGCAATGAAATTTTTTTGGGAACCAGAAAACACCACCAAATTTGCCGAAGTTCGCACTATCAAATAATTACTGAAACTTTTGAGCAAAACTTTGTGCAGCTAAAAATACATGAGTGTGGAATGGAATTTCTTTATGCTGTTAAAGCGCAGTATAAGAGCCATTATTTTATCCCTATTTCATTTTATTTGATCCGTCAACACAGTTTCCTTTCAATGTGCGGATCCCAGTACTTCTAGCATTCAATTCGTTCTTTGTCTTCTTCTTGAATTTCGTAAAATACTAAAGCACATCTCCTTGCAATGTCGAGGATAAGCTCGCTGTGGAGCTCCATAGGGCGTTGTTGTTGACTGTCGGAGAAACTGGGGGTGTAACCCGGCTCCACCCCCGCCGAGACGAGAATCACAACCACTCATCCACGGCGTTCCCTATAAAACTATTGTGCAAATAAAATATAACGTCTAAATTTTTGATATACGACTACTAAAATGTCCAGAAAGAGCGAAAAATACGACCTTTCCAGATATGGGTGCGGATAGGGGAAAAGTGCCAAGCTTTCTGGATTTTCCTATTATAGTTCTCTATTTAAACTTATTTAAAGCATCTCACAGTCTTTTTTCTCATTGCGTGGATTTCAGTGTTTCTAATATTTAGTTGGTTTTCGCCACATACTTGAACGCTGTATAATGCTGGTTGAGCACGTATTCTTGAAATCTCGAGGATAATCTGGCTGTAGCGTTCCGTAAAGTTTTCGCTTTTGACTGCCATAAGTGGTGAAGGGTGGAAATCAGCTTCGTGCCGCTTTGCGGAGAGCATCACAACCACGAGGTCACGTCGTTTCCTTTCTTTTTTCTAGAAAAATGGCGAAAATCACACTAAACTGCCACATCGAAGGCACGCGCTTTCCATTATTATTCGAAATTTTTTTTGCTCGTTTCGCGAAAGCTTCCAGATTTTATATAGTTCTGAAAAAGATCATGTCCTCCCATTCTATTGTAGTAGCTTTCTACTTTCATTTCTTATTGCCGAATCAACCTGAATTAAAGATCAAACAACAGGTCAACTTCTCCGAAGACAATACGAGCCTTCATCGCACTCACAGCACTTCAAGAAGGCCATTGCAAATATCAGGTTAAGCTACGGATTTGTCGAATTCTAAACTATTTAATCACACTTGAAAGTTTTGTTAAAAGCCATCCACAGACCCTAGACAAAGCCAGCAAAGAAGTATTTGTGCTGCAACAGTGTACTATGAAAATAAATCTCAGAAACGAAGCACAATACCAAAATCGCCGTGTCTCAAGATATCAGTTGACTGCTAAAAGTCTGATGGAAAAACCCTGTCCTCCGAAAAGTCGAAGTATTCCACGCGTATTCTGCTTAATGCACGCCTTCAACAAAGATTCAGTGCCTGACTGTATAGACTGTGTGTTAATTTGCACTCTTCAGGATCTAAAAAAGACAAAACCTCCGCGACGTCACTCGTTGCTGCTTTGATCAAAATCTGATAAAAAATCTCATGTCTGCTTATCAAGAAAATTGTGAATTATTAGATCAGTGCCGGAGTCTTGAATAGTCGGTCCAAGGATACTTACAGTTTGAAGATAATGATATTTGACCGATGTCTTTTTCATCCCAACTGTGCTCCTTTTGTTTTCCAGGAGAAACTGTAGTCGCTCACTGATGATAAAATCAACTAGGCTGTATGCCCGAAATATCCATGTGCAGATGAAAGTCAATGTCATATCAGGTTTTCGAAAAAAATTTTGTGTCATGTGCTATAATTTTAGCAGAAATTCACTGGGAAGTGATATCGATGATAGTGAGAGAATTTTGAAAAATTTGCAGTTTAATTTCCTCTAAGATATCAAGAATGATGGTTTCGTTTTCGTTTAGTATCAGGGGATGAAGAAACGACCCCTTTTGATGGGCAACAACTTTTTCATAAGAGCGTTGTAATTATTTGCAAACTCAAATCTGTGATTAGGACGTGCGCGGCCGTTTCCTGAAAAGTCCTTTTCATAAGGCCGTAGAATTTCAAATAAAATCATGCTTCACATTTTAGGTACTTACTTAGATACTTAGATTGTCCGTCTTTACTAGTTTGTGAGGACCCCAGCAAATATTTCAAAGGGTATATCTTTGGTCGAGCATATAATGTTCCTTTATTTCCTGACGTAACCTTGCAAGGGCTTTTTCAGGTTTTCATGGCGTTGTTTCTAAGGAATGGATCTTGGCGACGGATCCTCGGCCGGGAATCATACTAGTTGATTCGGAGATGGTGTTAGGTCGAAATTAAGGCAGAGGTAGGAAAGAAGATCAACAGGCCGTTCACGAATGATGTAGAAGCTGAAATTCATGTTTTACATCAACTGCGTAATTTTACTGTTATTTCGCTGGAGGCCACGAAAAGCATATAAACGCGTAAAAGAAATCTTGTGGTATCAGAGTTATGCATTTAATCTGGGACTTTTCTCAAAAGGGTGGAGAATTTATCATTGAGAAAAACAAGAATCGCCCTTCATATATGTCACGCATCAGCGTAATAGATTGCCGCGTTGATCCCGCGAATAGACCCTCTTGTTCCTCTACTCCAGCCTGTAGATTAGCCAATATACATACATATGCCCACGTATGTAAATCAATCTTGATTTCCTTGCTACAGTGCAGAAAAGCGGTCTTTCCACAAAAAAAAATCACAGTATTGGAGTCGTTGGATCCTACGCCATTGAATGGTCACTAATAGTCTAAAGGAAGATCTGTGCCCTGCAAGAAATATGCGCTTGTAAAACACAAATGTTTTCATTTGGCTGATACGTTGTAGAAAAGACTTTTTGATAAAACGGTTATGTAGCATACTAGCCACAGATCTGAGTTATCGATTGACCACTAACACTCTAATGAAAACTTCTTGTCCAGCGCAAGGGATCGTTTCTTCATCCTGTGCTAACGAACGGAAAAGTATCAAAACTACTGTGAAATGGTTGCATCAAGCAGCTATCAGAAAACGATAAAAAATAGAAAGCAGTAATTTTATCATTTCCTATCTGACTGTTGAATTTTTCTTGGATACAAATTAAATTTAACTCAACGAACACCAAAATGCAGGAACGAACTGCTGTGGACAAGTGGTTAGAAACATCGGCTTTGGGAAAAAAGACGTTTGAAGCATCAGCCGAGTAAAGTTTCTTTTCTATCAACATCGCGCTATCGACGGCATAACATAAATTATTATATTATATACAAGTTCCTCCATGCACTTTTTTAGCACATTATTTGATCCGTCATCACAGTGCTTTTTTATGCTATCTCAGTACTTCTAGCATTCAATTCGTTTTCCATCTTCTTTTTGAATGGCGTAGAATAGTGGTTGAACGAGTCTCCTTGCAATCTCGAGGATGCCTTGCTGTAGCGTCCCATAGGAAGTGTTGTTGACTGCCGGAGAGAGTTGGAGGGTGGAGCTGGGCTCCACGCGCGCCGTGACCAACATTACAACCAATCGGCCACGGCGCCCACAGTTCCTATATGCTCAAGAAAAAATCAGTACCAGTTGTATTGGTTTTTTTTTGCCTCTAGACGCGATTGAACGACCCGTTACAACGGTGTTGACCTTTAGTCAATGGAAAACTTATATTAACATCTTATGCACGAGGCACGAATCCGCTAATCCTAAAACTATCAATAAAAAATGTACCTCGGTGGTGTTGTAGTAACACTACGCGTCGGATGGATGAAACGATGACACTACGTATGGATGAAACGCGGGTTCGACTCTCGTCTGGAGCCATTTTTGCTCGCCACTCAGTTTTCTTGAGCATCAATAAGAAAGTCAAAAAAAGTCAACATTTTATAGATAGTCACAATATTGCCAACTTGAAGAAACAACAACGTTCGGTATGGAATTCCAAACAAAATCCATTTAGAATAGCCTGTAGGAATGTTTAGAGCCCTATAGAGGTTGTTACGTCAGACAGAATTCACCTTATTTGACCGTCACATGCGGTGGTATGATGTTGCAACGTAACCAATAATGTGGAGTGCTGTGCAAAAAGAGTGCGCGTCGGTGTTGCAACGGTTCAGCACGCGCTCCCAGAAAGAGCGAAATGTGAGTTCGAATCCCACCCGATGGGAGCGCTTTTGCACACCACTCTACATTATTGGGTATGTTACTTTAGAGCCGTATACTTTTCGGAGGTATTGCACTGTTCATCAGTGGCCCATGCCCCACACTGTGCCCTACTTTGCAGGCGGGACGGGAAACGTATGTGGTGCTGACACACGGTAATGTGTTATTATTAGTTTCTTCTAGTCGATGATTGTGGCTAGTAGTAAACAACTATTAATTTTTCTCATTGAATGTTCTTTGTGATCTGAGTTTTACTACCACCCACAATCCATCGACTAAAAAAGTGATGGTAACACATTAATGTGTGTTATCACCACATGCGTCTCCTTTCTCTGCTACAAAGTAGAATTCAGTGTGTGGCGTGTGCCACTGATGAAGAGGGCGATACCTCCGAAACACGTGTGTGGCTTTGAACTAACAGTCTCGATAAGGCTTTAGACATTCTTACATATTATGTTGAATATTCAGAACACATTATGATGTCAATAAGCATCCAAGCCAACAAAAATTCAACTACAAATATGCAAATTATCAAGCAAATATTTTTACTAGAACGATTGCAACTATGGCAAAAAGAGTGGAGAGATTTGACGATGAATTACAATAATCCTTGCTACAGCAACACACCAGGGAGTTGGCATAACCAGTGTAACAGCCGTCCTTCTATAAAACATACAGTGTATGCGACATACTCAGTCGTACATTGAAGCAGATGATATTTTATGATTTTTAAAACGATTTGTTTTTTCATTGCTCTCATAATTCATTTGTCAAGTAATTTCACGCTTATTAATAAGCTGTGAATGCATGACTTACTCTAGACAGAGAAAAAAAACAGTGCTGAAAACTTTATCATTTTATTTTTCTTTAATTCCTCGCTTTGTAAGTTCTAATCAAGGCTACAACTTACCATGTGGGCCACATAGGATAGGTGCTGACCTAATTTACCTTTCCACTGCACTACAATGAAAAAATTTGATGAGATGTCGCCAAAAGTAAATTGCTCGTTAAAACATCCATAATCAACCATCGCTTGTTATACGAAGTGCTTATTATGTATGAGCTTTAAAAGACCTCTTGATTTTATCAAGAAGCATCATATCGATCAGTGGAAATGTCAACCAGTATAATAACATTCCACTATCATCGATTACTGAGAAATTTTTACAGAATTTTAACGCTTCGCATTTTTTTCTTGTGAAATCTTGAAAATCCGTAAATCTGAACGCTCATCTATACACTGAAGAAAACTCAAACAGGAACATATAAGGAAAGCTCAGCTATCAGAGCATCCAGAAAGAATAACATGTAGAAGAAGAAATTAGGCTGATATTTATTTTTGGACCTTGCACACGGTCTGTTATGGGAACTTATCCAGTGTACAGAGCTTAAAAGTGCAGCTTACACGTGTTTCGGCCTTTCTGCCTCGTCAGTTGCAACGGAAGGTATTATATATTACACGATACCAGCAAAGAGCAATCGAGTGTACAACACTGCCCGCTTGGTGATTTCATTACTTATCGGCGCGTGTAAAACGCTCGTCTTCGACTCCTCTGTGTAAAAGGGTTCTCCCCTAAGACGGATTGGCTAAGACGAGAGGCACCGTGCAACTGGCGAGCCTGCAAGGCCAAATCACGTGTATTGCACTGTATAAGCCCATAGCAAACCATATGCATGGCTTGTAATAATTGCTAGGCATAATGGAATCTGAGGGTGGTAAGAAAACAATTGAAATGAATTTAAAAATGAGTTGTGAACTGCTGCAAATTACTACTATAGCGCAAGTGAAAAACTCACTATGATAAACGAGACAGGGTGTCAAATATATACATATTGTTGATGAGGTGCATTGTAACCAAAAACTTATATTTATTTTCTTCTTACATCGAGCACAATAAAGTTATAACTTACTTGACACATATTGGTTTGATCGCATGTGTACGAAATGACTGTTTGCTGCTCACCTTGAAATTTCAATCTGAAATAAGTTAGATGATATAAAATTTTTTCAATAAGTGAGAGAAAAATTGCAAACTAGAAGCAATCTCACTTTAAGCAGTAAGTGTCGTTGCAGTCTTCAACTCTCTTTACTTTCTCGTCTTTATCTATTACTCCTGAAAATTCTTTCATTAGGAGTTTTTGAGCTAACCTCTGTAAACAGGCCCAATGCCCTGGTTAGACCTCGTCTCAGACCAACCAATCCTCTCTGCACTCTCGGGATGGGTATATTTGTTCCGGAGGTTTGGAAATAACTCTATCCGAAAAATAAAGGTTGATGACCGCTGGAGTGATGATTTGGATTTCTCAAACACTGCTATTTAAAGCTGAATCTGCTCGATAAACTCTCAATATGATTCCGATATCAATGAATTATAACAAAATTCTGAAGAAACGGAAATCAACTCTAAAATCGAAAACCTTTTTGAATGACTGATATGATGGAACAGATTACTCAGGAAGTGTTGAAAACCCACAAAAAAAGGTCTGGTGAAGCGAAAGTTGAAAAATCAATAAAACAGCCTTTTGGTACTTACTCTGTACGAAACTCAACATGTCTAATAAGAGTTAGTAAGTTATCTGTAAGTCAACCATCCCGATGAATTTAACTAGTCACAATTTCTGCTTCTTTATGACCAAAAAATCAAAAAGAAGTAGATTTTTTATGATATCAAAAAACAATGCACTCATAGTGAATCCCAAAATTCTGCGCAAGTCGTCAGAAATATTACCAAATTTGTGAGAGCGAACGCAAAAGTTTCACTGTGATTGCCCCACGGCTGATATGTCTAGAAGAGTCACTGTCGTGAGTTTTAGTCAAGAACAAACTAAAGGCGCAGCTTCAGAATCTCTTTTGCTAGGTGAGAAGACCTGTTCGTATGTTTAAAACATCAGTAGCCAGAAGTAGGAACGCCATGACATTGTTGCCGATAATGGGTAAAGTGAAGGGTGGTGAATAGTCGACTATTAGTGGTCTCGACCGTTTTTTGTCATCTAATTGTAAGTCTTCTGTATTAAAGAAGAACGGTAAGACAGAGTTACCGTTGTAGAACGGCGCGTCTTTGATAGAATAGTGTTGCTGATTGCTTGAAAGAGAGACGAAAGATTAGGAATTCTGATGTGCAACATAAGAAAGACTGGAGAAGCAAGGGCGAAGTGGTTAGTGGGGCAGACTATCAGAAAGCAAAGAGCTGGTTCAACCACTTCCTTAACACTCTTTCAATCATATAGGAACGACCTAGCCCGGCTACTTCCAGGACTTAAAGGAGAATTGTTTTAATCACCATTCTACGGCATTCAAAAAGAAGACGAGCTCTTCAAGCAGTAGTCGAAACAACATGTGATTCATTTGAAGACTTTTGGAAAGCATGAATGAGAGGAAACGACTTGAATGCTAGAGGATTGGGATCTGCACAGTGAGATACTGTGATTGGTGATGTAATTTTCAAAAATTATGAGAAAAATTACGGATAGCGCCAGATAACTGAAAAGTCTTAATCAACTTCTCAGCGAGGCTTTAAATGATGTCGTGGTTACTTCAAAATTATGTGAACCAGGCACGTAATGTGGTTGAACGTCGCCAAAAGAATGTAGTAATCTGGAGTCGGACTAAAGCATGGAATGACTTCTAAATTAAAGTAGATTTTCGGGCTGAAAACCTCCTATTCACTTTTAAAGCCCACTTGACAACCCGTTAGGTATCTCTAATATATCATTGATGTATTCAACCTAATTTTTAAGGATGTTTAAAGCCTTGCGCGAGGTTGGTACGCCAGGGCCATACACCGGTGTTTCGGAGGTCTCGCCCTCCTCGGCAGTGACCCTCGCCACACATTAAGCCCTGCCGTCATCACATGAGCCTCCCTTCTTGCTAGAATGCAGGCATGCCCTGGCGTACCAACCTGGAGTAAGGCTTTGAATATTCTTGAAAATTAGGTTGAATGTTTACTGTGAGTTTTCAAAAAACAGTCGATGCCATAGATCATAATGTATTGCTCAGACAGCCAATAAGGGATCTTGACAAGAGTGAATGAAAAGAGCTACTGTGCTCAGATGATATGCGTTAGTAATCGTGAGTCAATAGCTTTCATGCAAAATCAACAAGAGATGAATCGATAGGGTAAAACAACTCATGCAACATTCCTTGCTACTTTTTATTATATTACCCGAATAAACGATGTGATAACGTGGGTGATCATTTAGGTAACCTTAAAGGACGAGCAGCGATGGGGTTTCGCGCGGAGAACGTGGATATGATATATCGGACGTATGCGGGAAGTGGGTCCACGACGACTGCAGTAGAGCTCGTGAAGCTGGCCTGCGGTCGTCTATCTATCTTTCTCCTTCCTGAACGTGTCCGCTCTACTTATTACATGTCAGTCGCTCTCGTTGAATTTGTGACTTTACATAGCCTCGTTGCATTCGTATCGCTTGCTGATGACCGCCTCACACAAGACGTGTAGGGTTGCGTACCACCTTTGGCCTGACTATCGGTCCCATAATTCGATGACGATTATAACGCAAGCCCGAGTCACGGAGACGAACCCAATAGAGAGAGTCATGGACGACTCACCACCGTGGGATGGGTAACGGGTTAGTAAGACGACCTTAATTCATGCTATGTACACATATGATTCATACAACGGCAGTAATCACATGCCATCGACCTAGCATATCCCCCCGGGGTCTCGTCCTTCCGATTCGGCCATGGTATCTCCCCAACCCTCCGTCTTCTGGTTGCGGCTTGCAAGAACTATATGTACTTCTCGTGAATCATCCGTTGGTTCTTGCTCTGTAACCTCATGTATTTTGACGTATTGACTCATCACTTGTTACTCATGACCGATCGATTGGCGATCGGTTGGATTCTAACCGACTATTTATCGATTGAGTTAATTTCGCAATATGTTGTTGGAGTGATAATGTATAATTAGAAGGAGTATTGTCATACTATTTTGTAATTATTGTTTTTTATAGGTTGTTTTCTTAACGTGGTTTATTCTTGCTGTAT